TTTACTTCTACTGTACAGAAGTTTAGCATTCACGTGATTTATTGGGAACTTGCAGGAACATGATGCGATTCGGTTTTTGCGGATCGGGGATCGATGACTCACAAGAACCACGATCCAACTGGCAGCTGAGGCGTTCATCTGTTTCGCAAATGTCTTCCACTCCATCCCTTTCACCAGTTTCTCCATCCTGTGAGGCGGCAACAGTACCGTCTGTTTTGTGCGACCCTTCCTTCCAAAACTTTGACCGAGTTAAGTCTTGGCTCAGGGACGTAACCCATAGTGGACCCTATTTTTACATCGGTTGACAAACAGGTTTTGGGGAATGTCAAGGCACAATTTTTTCTTCTTTGCCTCCTCTTGCCCCCTTTCAATTTGCCCCAAAACACACCACAATGCCACAGAAAGAAGAGTCAGTCAAGGCTGCATCCATCAACAGTGATGAGCAAGACCTTGCCCGTTTGGTACGTGTATATTCTAACCACGAGAGAAAGCTAACTGGCAGCAATCCAGGGATACAGACAGGAATTCCTTCGTGAGTTCGGATCACTCTCGACCCTGTCCTTTGCCTTCTCGATCATGGGAGTTGCTGCCACCATTCCATCGACCTTCGATACGCCCATGTTGGCTGCCGGACCCGCCTCTGTGGTCTGGACGTGGCTTGTGGGATCCATCTTCTGTATGAGTATCGCTCTTTCCATCGCCGAAATCATCTCTGCCTACCCCATTTCCGGAGGTCTTTACACCGCATCCAAGTTTGTTGTTCCAAAGGAGCAGGTTCCCATTGTTGCCTGGGTTGTTGGATGGTTGAACACTCTTGGTCAAATTGCCGGATTCGCTTCCACTGACTTTGCTTGTGCAAGAATGGTTGCTGCTACCGCTTACCTCATCACTGATGGAGCGTACGTTGCTACTCCAGGTGCAATTGTGGGAATCTACGTTGCCATCTTGGTTTTGCACGGAATCATCAACACCTCCTCTACCAAGTTCATGGCCGTCATGACCAAGTACTTTGTCTTCATCAACTTTGGTACTGCTATTGCTTGTATCGTTGCCCTGTTTGCCACTGTTCCAGAATCCCAAAAGCTTCCTATCAACGACATTTTCTTCTCTGTCACTGACGCCACCGGATGGAACTCTAATGCTCTTGCTATTATGTTTGGTTTGCTCTCTGTCTGCTGGACCATGACAGATTATGATGCCACCGGACATATTGCCGAGGAAACCCACCGCGCTTCTATCCGAGGTCCAGTCTCCATCATCGCTGCCGTGACTGGAACCGGAATCCTTGGTCTCATCCTCAACATTGCTTTCGTTGCCTGCTCCAACGGTATTGCTCTTCCAGGAGGAACTGGAATGTCCACTGTTGAGATTCTTTACAACAACGTCGGCAAGAACGGAACTATCGTCTTGTTGATCCTCATCATTCTTGTTACCAACACTATCGGTATCTCTGCTCTCCAAGCCAACTCCCGCATGGTTTTCGCTTTCGCTCGTGACGGTGGTCTTCCCTTCTCTGGATTCTTTGCCAAGATGAACGCCAAGCTCCAAGTCCCTGTTAACTCAGTCTGGATCATCATCTTCATTTCCATGTTGATGGGTCTCTTAAACTTGGCTTCCGCTACTGCTGTCAATGCCATCTTCTCGCTCGCCACTGTTGCCATGGATTGGTCGTACTCCATCACCATTCTGTACAAGATTTACTACTGTCACATTCGCAAGTCTATTCAGTTTGTTCCAGGGCCATTCAACATGGGACCCACACTTGGTTTGATTATCAACGTAATTGCTGTTGTTTGGACTGCATTTGTGTCAATCATCTTGGTCTTGCCACCTTCCGTTCCAGTCACCACAGACACCATGAACTATGCCGGACCAATTACTGTCGGCGTAATGTTCTTGTCCATGATTTGGTACTATGTCGATGCGCGAAAGTGGTACATGGGTCCACTTGGAAACTTGAGCACTACCGAAGCCTCTCTTTCAGTTCCTGACGAGAAGACTGAAAACAAAGACGCTGCTTTTGTTTCAGCTTAAGAAACCATACTTTATAGAGTCTCTTTTATGTATAAGTTCATTAGGAAGGACCGTGTTTGTCCAATAAACCTCACTGTATTTAAATGTTTCTTCGTCAATTTACCGACGGCGGTCGTCATACAATATGATAATGGACTCATTTATTGCCAATACCAATGCTAGCAGCGAACTAAAAACGGTGTATAAATACCCACCCTGAAAGAGAAATACTCTCCATCATTTGTTATGAACCCTCTCATAGAACGAAAGCATATCAATCCCAAGATCCTCATTGCTAACACCCTTCACAACCCCCATCTTCCCCACAGAAGGCGCCAAATCATATCCCGCAAAATCATCAAACTCTTGCTGTTGCAGTTGCTGCTGAGGGACCCGCTGTTCCCTTAATCCAACACAACTTGATACAGCGTCGACAGTGAATGAAAGCGGTTGCGGCACACTGGTGAATACAAGAGGTTGGAGTTTTAGGTGTCGCATATGCGGTGGTGCCAGTCGGTCAGTCTATCAGATGGGTTAGATATGCAGCGAAGAAAGGCGGGGTGGCTTTGAACGAGCCACCGATAATCAATGGTTGCTTACTTCGATAGATGTATCTGATGCCTTGCGTTTCATGCCATTGGAACATGTGTATGATTGCATGGGGTTGTATGTTGTTCCAAAGGCCGACATGGTAGTTTCAGGGTAATGGAGTGGAGGTGGGGAGATCCGGTTTCGAGATGGTTTTAAAAAACAGATTCCTGAATTTCCCGGCCACATGACTTTCAAGATAAGATCAAGAGGAATGGATGCGATATTTTTAAGTTGATAAGTTTATTATTCGCTATCACTTTGGTACTCAGCGTCCTTTTTGGGTGTGGGTGCAGGCTTCTTCTTTTTCTGCTTACTTTCGGCTTGCTTTTGTGCGTATTCCTTTCGCCAGAACGCGAAAGTGAAGCAATTGACTAAATCTCCTGCACCCCTTTTCAAATCTTCGTTGTCGTCTGTGCTCAATCGTTCGTCAAATCCAATTGTTCGGCGGTGGGCATAAAGCGGGTACATAGTTTCCGGAACAAACGGTGTTTTCGTTCGAAGACTGAGGCCGTGATTAGCTCCCAGCGTTTTGATGTTCCAAAGAGTATATGGAACAGAGTTTTTGATAGCAATATGCTGTTATACAGTTATCGAACATATTTCAAGAAGAGATTCGCTTACAATTTCACCCGACGGCTTCAAGAATTTAAGAGCACTTTCGAAGAAGCCAGAAATCAGGTCCTGTTCGCAGTTAGTCCAATAGAAGGAATCATTGGAAACCAAACCTGATTCGCCATCACATTACGATCTTGATCCTTGATGCCTACAAATTATATTATTAAGCTGTCTGTTGGTACAGAATATATACCTAAGCCGACATGTGGAAAGTTGAACACAATGACATCAAACGTCTTCCCCTTCAACGCCTTCGTTTTCCCAAGGTCTCGTGCATCTACTCCGTGGAATACTTTCACGCCACTCTCAATCAGCGGAGTGAGATGCGATTTGGCGTCAGGATACTTTTCATGCACAACTTCTTCAGAATCATACGAAGTTGAAGTCATATTCTCGGGAGCTTGAACGTATATTGTTGAGAGCAATGAGTTTGAGAAGCTGAAGTTTCCCTCTCCGACAACTGTATTGTTGACGGTGTGGCTGAGAGTGAGTCTCCATATGATCAGGGTAGAAACACCTACGTAGCATAGTCTCATCGTGCGAGTAAGGTACTCTCACGTTCCTATTCTTAAGTTTCTTTGGGGCGTTCGATTGGGCTGTTGACCGAAAGCAGTTCAGTTAGACCATGATCCCTTCCTATAGTTGACACTCACCAACAACAGGCCCACCTTTCTTTGCAATTTTAGATTTTGGCTGGAAAGCTGATGAAGCCAAAAGAGTCTTCTTGAGCGACTTCTTCTTCATGCCCATCTTTGGTTGATTGTTTTGTGGAACAGAAAAAAAGAACCAAGAAAAGGTATAATACATCCACTTTTCATAAGAGAGAACTACGAACACTCAAATCAATTCCAGACAACTCCAAAATGGTCAAACTCACATCATCGGACAACCAGACCTTTTCAGTGGACCGAATCGTGGCAGAGCGATCAGTCCTGCTTAAAAACATGCTTGAGGACGTGGGCGATTCGGATGATTCTCCAATTCCACTTCCAAATGTTACCGCAGCTATTTTAAAGAAGGTTTGTCTGAAATTGGGAGGGTTGGATGTAGTTTGTGTGTTCTAATGATATGCTTGCTACCATTACAGGTGCTTGAATACTGCGAACATCACAAGACTGATCCTTTGCCAAACGCTGAGGAAGACAAAGATAACATTGTTTGTATTGCATAGTTTACGGTTACAGCGCTGAAGTTCTTGACATGACCTCACCTCTTCATCACATCCAAATTTCACACAACATCCAAACAAACAAAAGGATTCTTCACGACGACGAGTAGACGATATTGAAGAATGGGACGCTCAATTCATCAAAGTCGACAACGAAGTCCTGTTTGAAATCATTCTCGCAGCAAACTATCTCGACATTAAGGCGTTGCTGGACCTTGGATGCAAGTCTGTTGCCAATATGATTAAGGGAAAGACTGCTCAAGAGGCTCGTAGTATTTACATTCACCTTCATGACAGCTAATTTCATTTTCACAGATTCGTGACATGTTCAATATTGAAAATGACTTCACACCGGAAGAAGAGGAACAAATACGTCGTGAGAATGAGTGGGCTGCGGATGCATAATATGATTCTATTCGAAATGGCAATAAAATGTTGATATAAACCGTTATGTTTGGTTAAACACGAATTCAGACAAATCATTTCGAATGCAATTAAGCTGTGAAGCAAAACTGGGGCCCCGAGGTGGACTCGCACCACCGACCTCCCACTGAGATTTAAATCTGTTGCATTTTTACCACGCTCTTCCAGCTGAGCTACCAGGCCTACACAAGGGCCTGGGGTGGACTCGAACCACCGTCCTTGGCAGGGGTAACAGGATTAAAAGGTGGGCGCTCTTCTTACTGAGCTACCGGGGCGTTGATCACTTCCAGAAATTAGCACTATAACGTTAATAAAAAGGACTATTATAAAAATGTTTGATTGTGTAAATTGCAGAAGGGTGAAGAGTGCGAGTCTGGCAGCAGTTTGCTTTGATCTGCAGGCTTTCCTCTTCGTCTACAGCAAACCACCACTGCAAGAGCAGAACAATCTCAAAACAGATTTAAAAGAAATGCAGGCGTAAATAATGAAACCTCTTTTATTCTCAGGGAACAAGCTCAAAAACTACAAAACTCCACACTCCAAAGCTTACAACTTAGCCTTAGAAGGAGCTGGCTTCTTTGCCCATTCGCCTCTCAACTCAACAGCCGCATTGGAAATAACAACAGCATTGCGCTCAACGCAGCGGACTTCGAAAATCACAGTGGCACCTTCCTTCCACATGTGGATTTCAGCAGTCTCTCCTGGGAACTATCATAGAATACATATTAGTACAGTCAATTTGAAGAGAGAGAAAGAAACGAGAACTTACAAAGTGCTTCGCGAATCTGACTTTACTCGTCTTGAAGCTGGCTGGATCGTTTCCACCAAACTCTCTCAAGATGGTACGACATGCGATACCGTAACTGCACAAACCGTGCAAGATAGGAACCTTGAATCCACCCATGGCGGCCATTTGTGGGTCAATGTGCAATGGGTTGTAGTCTCCAGACAAACGGTACAAAGCAGCCAAATCATCAGGAGTCTTTTCAATAACGATCACGTCAGCTGGACGCTTTGGTGGCTCGTTAGCTGCAACGGCAGCACCAGTACGAATGCTCTTTGATGGTCCACCGAAACCACCACTTCCACGGATAAAGTTGGTGTACTCGTTCTCACAGTACACTTCACCAGTAGCGGCGTCCTTGGTAGTAACTCCAATAACCATAACAGCGCTCTTTCCCTTGTCAACAATCTCAACAATCTTGGCAGTGTTGACAAACTTTCCAGAGACTGGGAGAGGCTTCACGTGGCGAACGAATTGCTCGCCGTGGAGAAGCATCATTGGGTTGAAGTTGGGAAGAAGGTCTCCGAATGGAACTTGCATTTGCGAGTTGAATCCAACGCAGACAGCGAAGGATGGGATGGTAACGAAAGGATCCGCGTTTTCGTAGACGAGGTTTAATTCAGTGCGCTTGGCGTTCACACCGAGGGCGTAGAGGATGACATCGCGTTCAGTGTATTCAAAGTTGACTGGCGCGAACACAACCTCCTTTCCAGCTGAAGCAGCAGCTGGCTTCTCTGCTGGAACATCCTTGGCGATGTTCTCAAAGTTGGCAGTAACAGCCATGAAGGACTCTTGAGTGGTGGTTGGGTAAGTGGCGCGACCGTCTTCAAAGTTGGTGATGACGTTCCACTTGGCAGCAACATGCTCAGGAGTCAAAGTAACATTGACAGGGAATCCGTATCCTCCAGTACGTTGGATACGGACCTTGGAGACCCATCCAGAACCAACTTCGTAGACACCTCCAGTGTGCTCAGTGTTAGACTCGTGACAGAGGAAGGCGACTGGTGGAGCAATGTAGTCTGGCTTCAAGGCTTCGACAATCTCTGGTGGCATAACTGTAGCAGTCATACGGGTACCAGCATTTGGAGCAATTGTGTTGACAATAATGTTGGACTTTCTTCCTTCCAAAGCGAGAGTGTTGCTGAGAGCAATAACACCAGCCTTGGCTATTCGTGGGATGAGCATTGGGTATAAAAATGAGTCAAAAGAAACTCACCAGCAGAGTAATTGGCCTGTCCAAAGTTACCGTAAAGACCAACAGCAGAGGTAGTGTTGATAATACGTCCATACTTCTGCTTCATGAAGTGTGGCCATGCCGCCTTCAAGATCTTGTAAGTACCTCTCAAGTGAACCCGGTGAACCAAGTCCCAGTCCGCATCAGTAGCTCTGGCGAAACTCTTGTCTCTCAAAATACCTGCGTTGTTGATAACGATATCAACGCGACCGAAAGCCTTGATGGCGGTCTCGATAACCTTGTCACCATCTTCGACAGAGTCGTAGTTGGCAACAGCCTTGGCTCCCAAAGCACGCAACTCATTCACGACAGTGTCGGCGGCGTTGTGAGCAGCACCAGAACCAGTGTGAGAGGTTCCAAGATCGTTAACGACAACTGAAGCTCCGTTCTAAACCAAAACCGGGTTAATTTCACAATCTTCAAAACACAAAGATGAAACTTCAAACCTTAGCGAACAAGTGCGCATACGCTCGTCCAAGACCCTGTCCAGCACCAGTAACAACAACAACGCGTCCATCAAATCTCAAGTTAGGACCAGCGGCATTGGTCTTCAACTTCTTGGCCTCATCCAAAAGTCCAACCCAATCAACCTCCGCAATGGTGGTTGGGTACTGCGCCTCCTTGCTAAAGTCACCAATCTTGGCAATTTGAGAGGCAACAGAGCCAGGTGTGAAGGTAGCATCTGCCTTGAACATAACACCCTTGCTTCGCTCAAATCGAAGTTTGGAGACGAATCCGGCACCAACTTCAAAGAGACCTCCGTTTTCCGTGGTCTTTTCGTGACAGAGGTATGCAACGACTGGAACGACAAAGGTTGGGTTCAAGTGGGCGAGCATGTCGGGTGGGAGGACGGTTTCTGTCATACGGGAGGCAGCGAGTGGAGCGATGGAGTTACAGAAGATGTTCTTCTTTTCACCCTCCTTGGCAAGAGTCAGTGTGAATCCGTGAAGAGCGTATTTGGCTGTATTTTTTAGTTTTGATAAGCTTTTCGAGTGGAGAGTTTTCAGAAAGAACGTGGAAACGTTACCAGCAGCATAGTTTGCCTGTCCAAAGTTTCCGTAAATACCGGCAGCTGAAGTAGTGTTAATGATTCGTCCGAAACCTTGCTTCTGGAAGATATCCCAGGCAGCCTTAGCAACCTTGTAAGAACCACGAACGTGAACCCGCTGGATAAGGTCCCAGTCATCATCAGTCATACGCGAGAAGGACTTGTCTCTCAAGATTCCTAGCACACGACTCAGTCTACAGTTTTCGAGTGAGGAAAAGGGAACAAACCCGCGTTGTTGATAACAATATCAACCTTTCCAAACGCCTTCACAGCAGTCGCAACAATCTTGTCTCCATCCTCCACGGAATCATAGTTAGAAACAGCCTTTCCACCCGCAGCGACGATCTCATTGACAACGAGATCAGCAGCCTATTCACAAAGAGTGTTCAGAATATTGTGATACTCTCAACCCAGTAGGATCAAGCACGAACCTTGTGGTTTCCGCTTCCGTCTCCAGCACGAGATCCACCAAGGTCATTGACAACGACAGAGGCACCTGTTGATATATCACAGAAAGGGCATTTGTCAGCTTCATCCTTTCACCCCATTCACACAATAGGGAACCTCACCTCGAGAAGCAAAGAACAAGGCATACACCTAACCAAAGAGAACTATTAACAACCCTCTCTTCCCTCAAGAACAAGCTGCAGTTGCGTACCTTTCCAAGACCTGAACAAAGTGAGTTAGCTAAGCAATCCCTTGAAAACACGTGGTTAAATCCTTGTTACCTCCTCCGGCTCCAGTAACAATCACTACGCGTCCATCGAATCTTAATTCACTCATATTTGTTCAGGTTGAGATAGGATGAGAAAGGGAAGGTGGCTCTCTCCGGTTTTGGACGATTTTTTGTAAAACAGAGCCACATGGGAGAAACCACACCAACGCGAAAAAGACAATGAACTGTTTTCCCTCGTGGGATCAGTCATTTGACAGCGAACATAAAATATATTTAAACCCACTTCAAACCGTAAACGTAAAACAGGAAAACTAATTATGACGCCCTTAATTTGCATACTTGCACTGATTGCACTACACTTGCACGAAACTCCAAAAAAGAGATAAAAAACAATAAATAAGGAACATGCTACCTCCCCCCTCACCTCCTCCTCATTTCCAAGACTAAGCTCACCCAGTCAAAATCCCACCAACAAGCGCCCCAACATCCGGACAAACAAACTGCGTAACACCATCAAACGACGGCTTATACCCCGTCCAACTAATCCACGAAACCCCAACACTCACCGTATAAGCAATCTTCACAGTCCCACCCCCACCATTCGCACACTTCCCCACCAGAACCGTCAACGCCGGATCAGCCGCAACATTCGTCACCGGCGAAACAGCATTATACACAACCGCAACAGGAAGCCTGAACTTTGTCGTCGCCCCAGACCCATTAAACGTCACACCCCCACTTGACCCCGACGCGAGCGTGTTGGGAACACGCACGCCAGCGTCTGTGAGCAGTGCTCCAGAGAAATCAGCGTTCGAGACTGTTATGGAGATGTAGGAGTCGGATTTGACGGATACATCCACGGCGAGGTTTATTTTGAGTTGGAAGGGGGCGGTTGGGGAGGCTGAGGTTGGGGTTCCTGAAACGGAGTAAGGGGAGGCGGAGGTTGGGTCGAGGTATGGTTCTGAGACTTGGACGGATGAGATTCTTGGCCACTGGTTGTTATTTTGTTTAGTGGAAAGGGGTTGGACAATGTTGATGGGGGAAGAAGGTACGAACCAGGAAGTAGATGGCGACACCGATACCGGCTAATAAGACAACAATAATGGCACTGATGGTCCAACAACATCCACGACGAGTCTTGAAACAGCAGCAATGACGTACACCAGAATTTCTCTGCTGTTCCCTCTCCTTTCTTCTTCTCTCCTCCCTTGTAATCCGTTCTCCACCATTCACTTCATCCGCCGCCATCAAAGGAGAAGGACCCACGGCATTATTTGAATTTCTCGAAAGAGAAGGCGACTGAGTCCCATACTGCGTCCCACCACCACCACTACCATTCCCCGTACTCAACAATTTCCCAGAAACCGAATCATCCGACAAAGACTGTCGAGCAGCAACAGCAGCAGGAACATACGAAACCCGTTTCGCACCAGGCGGAAGACGAGCATAATACGCATCCTCCTCACTCAACACCTTTTCTTTACTCGACTGAGCAGAAGAAGAAACGTGTTTGACAGAGGGCACCGACACTCTTTTAGCACCGGGTGGAAGTTTCGCCATGTACGCATCTTCTTCTGGGTTTGACGGATTGGAGGCGGAGGAGGGAGTGTATGACATTGGAGGCACGACAATGGGAGTGTACGAGTGGTAAGAAGAAGACGGGACGTAGGATTGTTGTTGTTGGTATGCAAGTTGATGGTTTGGATGCAAAGGCATGACAGGTGCATTCGGAATGGATTGAGAATAATGCATAGGGTACGAAGGATAAACATTTGGGAGTTGTGGTGGTGGGTTGAATTGTTGTTTTTGGTGTGAAAAGGGATCGGTTGAAGCCGAGGCAGGAGAGTCCGCCAAGAGATACTTTTGATCTTCCTTTGTCGCCACATTCAGCAATTCAATCGAATCATCAGACAGATGTACGACTGTTGATTTAAGGGTGTCTGATTCCTTGATTCCAAGAGGTGCGTTTGAGGACTGGACCAGAGCATTAATTTTGTTTTCTTCGTTGAATCTGTCGATTGTTGATTTGTCTTGTGGTTCCAGTTGAGGAGTTTGAGGTGCTGCGTAGGAGGGAAGGGCCTCTTGTTCAGTTGAAGTGGAAGAAGCAGCGATTCGTTCGTTGAGAACTTCATCGAGTTTGTTCTGTTTCTGAGGCAGTTCTGTGTTTGTGTTTGAAGAAGAGGAAGAAGCAGAAGAAGGAGGCAGCCATGACGACCCTTTCTCAGGATGGTGCCAGAACACGCGCTGGTACGTGGTGTCAAAGTGCTGTGTCCATCCATTGTCGATGGTGTCGTCGTTGAGGATTGTCTGTTGTGGCGGTGGTGGTGGTGGCGAGGACATGGTTGGTTGGTTGGTTGGTGGTGGGCGGGTTCACTTGTTTGATTTCGTCTGTGATCGAACCTTCTTTTGAGGTTCATTGCATTCAGCGGCAGTCGCTTAATTGTTTCATTAGACTCTTTCAATGAAGTATATCCTGTTTATATTCTGCGCCATAAATCTAGAACATCCAGAACGTGTGTCTCAATTCAGGTTGACTAATACCAAGGCATGAAAGACATTGATTTCCTGTCTTTATTCTCGGTTCAATCATTAATACATTCGTCATGTGCATGAACATCTATTATCTGGAGGCAAAGTCAAATCATCCACAGTGCCGTCACCTATTGGCCATAATATCTTTTTACTAAGTTTGGAAATGTGTGAGTTGTCATTGTGGACTTAGCTCCTTTAGAAATCAAGCAACAATTCCGCAGGAAAGAGAGTATGAAGAATGTGCGCACCATCCTCCCTCTATCCTTGTTCTTGACTCTCACCAAAGAAAAGTTTAAAACTTTGGCCCTGAGGTGGACTCGCACCACCGACCTCCTACTTCTTTAAGTCTGAGATACCAATTGCCGCGCTCTTCCAGCTGAGCTACCGGGCCTGCCCAAGGGCCAGGGATGGACTCGAACCACCGTCCTCGGCAGAAACCCAGGATTAAAATGTAGGCGCTCTTCTTGCTGAGCTATCAGGGCCTGGTCGCCGATGCTGGCTATTGACACTATAATATGAGTAGAAAGTGTAACATTTAAGAGATTTTGTTGAAAATTGCAGAATTGAGAAGAATGCGAGTCCAGCAACAGCTTTGATATGCGGACTTTAAAGAAATTGAGAATATCCTTCCTGACTTTCTGTCATTGTGGATGAACCGTTTGCCGTCAAATATAAGATTCTATGCGACCATGCATGATATGGTTCCATTTATCCGCCACAACTCGGCTAGTGTTTATCGATGTTCTATTCTGACCTCAAGACACCTTTTGAATGAGTAATCTGAGGGCCGGAGCAAAATCATTTAGGCTGCAACCAACCACGCGTGCCTCATATTGAACATAAGCATGTCCTCTTTTCTCACGCTTCTAAATGAGATGAGGCCAGAACTTATCAATGAGCAAAGAACTCAAGTCAAAACCCAAACAGTCATCCAATTTAGCTGTAATCTCTGTTTATCAAGACTTGTGTGCATATGAGTGAGATCCATGATATCACTCAACAAGTTGCGGTTAAACGTGCATTGTTCTTAATGAATAGAAGATGGATCACGGCCCCGAGGTGGACTCGCACCACCGACCTCCCACTGGATTTCAAATGTGCGGAATTCTTTGCCACACTCTTCCAGCTGAGCTACCAGGCCTACACAAGGGCCTGGGGTGGACTCGAACCTCCGTCCTTGGCACGGGTTTCAGGATTAAAAGGTGGGTGCTCTTCTTACTGCCAGTGAGCTATCGGAGCCTGGTATCATGCCGTGATATAACCTTAGTAGAAAGAGCTATTATAAAAACGTTTGATTGTGCAAATTGCAGATGGGTGAAGAGTGCGAGTCCAGCACCAACTTTGATCTGCGGACTTTCGTGAAATTGAAATATTCTTCTTGATTTTCTGCTACTTTTGCCGTTTAATATTACGGTTTTGCATGAAAAGGCTCCTTTGATCCATCACAACGTTGCTAATATTAAAGAGTCAAAGATTATTGAGTTCGACATTTATTGTTGACCTCATTGCGTTCCTTTCAAACAGGCATCACATAGTCGTACCTGTTTAATGAGTAATCTCTAGCACGACCATTAAGGCTGCACGCGCCGCTATCCTCAACTACGCGTGCCCTAATAAATCATCGCATTATGGCCTCTTTTGTCACGCTACTAAATCAAATGAAGTTAGGGCGAATAGAAGAGTTAAGAACAGGCCACTCTCCGGAGTCAATATCCCAAAACAGAGCACCAATTTAGAGATTCCAATGGCGGCTTGTCCAGCAACAAAAGGCAACACGCTCCAACAAATTCTCACCGAAACCACGTTTGAAACGCCGTTGATGCAGTTGTCGTTGACCAGTGCATCCTTCTCTCTGATTGTGCTCGGAGCAGCCGGCGGGCCCTTCGAAGACCGGCTGACCGGGTACCTTGTCCGTCCCTGGGATTCACGATCGCTGCTTTCCTTTGATCCAGGCAGTCTCCTTGGCGGAATCAGGCGCTCTCTCCCATCGCTCGACACCCTCTTCAACACCGACAACACCGACACTGCCTCAAAAGCACTTCCCTCAACCACCCTCAAAACACTCATCACGGGCCACCTGATCTCGCACCCTCACCTCGACCACTGCGCTGGTCTCCTCATCTCATCTCAAGCAGACGCCCCTGGTGCCTCAAAGCCCCTCTACGGCCTCAACTCAACACTCACTGCCCTAAACACACACGCATTCAACAACATCCTCTGGCCAAACCTCCCAAAATTCGGTTACTACCACTACGAACAAATGATCCCAGGAAACATCACCACAAAAACCGGTGGAATCCCGCGTCTCGACAGCCTGATCTACCCAGTCTCACACGCAGACCTCACTTCCGCGTGTTTCCTCCTCGGCGAGAACTTGTCAACCTTCACAGCCCCTTCCGGCGACGCAATCCTTCTCTGCGGAGACCTCGGTGCAGACGTGAACGAAAAGTCAACTCTGAACGCGAAAATGTGGAACTCGGTTGCACCGCTTGTTTCGTCAAAGAGGCTGAAGGCTTTAATGATTGAGTGCTCGTTCCCAGACTCGACGCCGACTTCTTCGTTGTTTGGACATTTGACGCCGAAGCTTGTGATTCAAGAATTAAGGGTTCTGGCGCAGGCTGTGCTTGATTTGGGGAAGAGTGGGTGTAGCGCTACTGTTGAGAATGTGTTGCAAGGGTTTATTGTGATTATTCAGCATGTGAAGGAATCAATTGATGCCGTGCGTGCAGAGGGAGGACGCGATTTGGCTGTTGAAAAGATTGTCCAGGAGTTGGGTGAGCAAAATAACTTGGGTGTCAAGTTTATTTTTGCGCACCAGAATATTGGAGGCATTATTGCTGTTTAGAGCGTGGCAGGGATATTCGGTTTTTTAGATTGTTTGAGGTTTTGGTAGTAAAGTTCATCTGAACCACCGTCTTTTATTATCCATACAATAATCAAATACAATTCTAATTTCTTGTTGATTGCGTGTCAAACCAAAAACACATGAACCCCTCAGAACTGAATACTTTATCATGGTGAGTTCTACAACACCAAGAAACAGGTATCAAAACCTAAAGTAGAAGCCTACCCAGGCAATGAATGCCGTAATATATGTTGGGCTTTCTTGTCTAGGGATCTCGAGGAAAAAGTTCGATGTCAATCTGATGGAATCTCGAAGTGCAAGCTGATGGCTGAGCAGATTACGCTTGCTATGATAGGACTATCTAACGGTGAAACGGAACCAGGGCCTTCAACTCCTGGAGTTGAGGATGATGAGGAAGATGAAGTCAATACTTAATCGATGTGGTAAATGACTTTCGTTCATACAACTTAAAAGACAATGGGGGAAAAAAAAAGATACGGCTCACTTCTTGCAATGCTGGCTGCAGATTTGTTGAGACAATCTGAGCTTGAACGATTGAAAGAAACCGACTTCGTGCACCAAACAACTGATGGATTGGGCGTCTAACTTGAAGTATGATATCGCAATCTTCAAAAAATCCAATTTTATAATGTGAACTCAGGCGACATTGCACGCAAAATGGAAGGAATCATCTTCGAGAAGGAATCACGTTAATAAAACGTATACTTAACTTCGTTTTGGTCTTACAAAGCAGACGTCTCTATTTGAAAAAGAGTCCGGCCCTCTCTGCTTGCCTTCTTCTAAATTCCCGACGCTGTCATTGCTTGAGAGTCCGGACCTTCTTCTGGAAGTCCTTAAAAGCCGTTGACCTTCTTCCTCATAAAACTCAGCTCGGTTCATCGAATCCACATTAACCCCTGATTGTCGTCCCCATTCATGCTTCGCTATGCTCCTCCAGTAACATGTTCAGGGGATTTGAGTATTTGAAACCTTTTGATTGTCAATTTCAAAACGTTACATTTACTCTTATCTTCTGCCACATGCTTTCCTCCATATCTGCTGCCCAAATCTTATGCTCTATTATATCGAGTTCAATAAATGACGCATTCTGGTTTATTTACAAACGACGATGAATAGTCAATCACTTGGTCTCTTGCACTGAAAGTTGACTCTTTCTTCCAAAGAGCTTCCCAATCGCTTCTTTCGCTGAAGAAAAAGTCTTCTTTCGTCCGTGTTGATCCTTGTTTGCTTCAGTGATTGTGTCAGTGTCAGAAAGCTTGCTCGCCATGGAGAGCAACGAAGCTCGTTTCGTTTCTGGGTTATCCTGTGGCATTTCTGATACATTGAGCTCAATTTCTCCTCCAGTAGAGGACTTCGCAATAATTGGTGCTGAGATTGAAGTGTCTTCGAGGGTTACTTCAAGCTGGGCAGTCTCAGATGGAAGCCACATTACTTCCGCCTTGCGACTCACAACTGATATTTGGCGAGGAAGAGGGTATGGGTATGAATAGCAGGAGTTGCGATGCTCTGCTGCTGATTGAGGTGCAGAAGTAATTGAAGAGTACGAGCTTCGCGGTGATAGTGAACAGCAAGATGAAGGCGGCCTCCAGAGATCGTCGCCTGCTTTAGTTGAGGTATCGACTTGCAATGGGAAAGTAGTAGAGGTGGACTCATTCTGATCCTTCCACCGAATTGGGGCTTCACTGTTATCGAATTGTTGAGACGTCTGCTGCATATTTGGTTCACTTCTTTCGTTGACAGTTTCTTTTCTGGAAGTGGATAGCCTTTTGAAGTTTAATTCCAAAGCAATGTATCTTTTTGTCAGTTTCGAACTCGACCGCCAAACGGCAACTCAAGCTGACCCTCATTTTCAATCAGCTGAGACAGAGCAAAACTTTAACATTTGATTCTTGTCGTTACAGACGAGGTTTTATTGCGCGTACACGGCATTGTGTAACACGTTGGTTGACCAATCAATCAAAAATACTGCTAATATTTGACAAATGCATATTTGGGCATAAGAATCTAATAAATGAATAAGTAATAAGGTTTGCATCGTTTATAGCTTACTTTTTGAGACCATTCGCTTTCGGCTTATACCCCGTCCAACTTAAAGCAGGCAAATCAATGACAGCTTCGTAGTTCACGAATAAATTACTTCGTCGCCTTCCACAACGTGTCTTTAGCATCAGAATGGCTTGATCCACCGAACTTGATTGGTTCGCAAAACTCGTCACCGTGAAAATCAACTCAATCGGCATCGTAAATGTATAATTAGAGCGTGGAGGAAACGATATTCCACCAGCGCGACCGTTCAAGTAGCAGTTTGGAATGATTGTCGCGTCGTTCGCGCCAATCATTTGTCCCGTGAAGAACATATCGTTTATGGGAACTGGATAGTAGTTTTCGCTTACTACAGATATGTTCATGAAGAGGTTCACTTGAATCGTGAATGGGTTGGCGATTGTTGCGTTGTCTAACGAGCCGGAGACTGTGTATTGAACGACGTCGGTTGAGTTTGAAATAAAAGGATCGGATATGAGAAC